TTGTAGGAATGGGGTCTAAAAGACACGTTGATGGTTTGGAGGAAGTAATTACTGAAGTTAACTCAGAAAGACCAATTGGAGAAAAGGAGTCTAAATAAATATCAATGATATTGAAAGTAGCTCTAGATAATGTTACGTCTGTGAGATGAGTATTTGTTTTCTCTAATGGTTACTATTTTATTTGTAAAGAAATTCACGAAGTCATTACTAGTTAACCTTAAGGAATGCTTGGTCACAAGAGCTTTTGTCAGCCTGGAGCAATCGGGGACCAAAACCAAGCTTCTGATTTGTAGATGGCCTGCTCTCCTGAGCTACAGCCACGCCTGCAACTAAAAATTATTTTGGTTCCAAAGTAATCTTGTTGATTTATTTATTTATTTAGATTAGTCGATTAGTCCTATTCTAGGCTCCAGTATATACTTTATCTCACCTTTTCAAGTCTGCCCACCTGTTAAAATAACCTTATTGTCTCTTCCCACAGCAAGCTAAAGTAATCACCCATGAAACATTAATTTGAAACTGATCAGCACCTGCCATGGTACAACAGATGAAAATTAACCTGATGGCTAAATATGACATGTTAAATTTAATTTTAAATGGTCATTAATATGCACCACTAATACTTCAATTGAAAAAAAAAATCATACTTCATTAATTATCAACTGATTGTGTGAATCCTGTTAATTGTTCTAGCTTTTTGTTGAATCACATCCATTCAAGAGTGATTCAAGAGCTCATCAGCTCTCCTATCACCTGATTGTAGATTGTAGGTTGTAGCTTCATAAATCTTGTTTTTCATATTCGCTTCCATTGAATGCAGGGCAAAAGTTTTTATTTTATTTGTGGGTCCAGATAATCGTGGGTCTAGAGCAGCAGCAGTGATTGGTTTGCTTGGGTTATCATCTTTGATGATGACTTTCTAACCTCAGTTTTATCTGAATTAAGAAGCAGAACATTAGAGTTCATCCTGGTCTTTATGTCTTTAAGACATTCCTGCAGTTAAACTAATTGGTGTGTGTTATCTGGCTTAATGGATGGATAAAGTTGGGTGTCATCTGCATAGTAGTGAAAATGTGTGCTATGCCTTCTGATGATACTGCCTAATGGAAGCATGTATAATGTAAACAGAATTTGTCCTAGAACTGAACCCTGTGAAACTCCATAATTAATCTTAGTGTGTTAGTAAGACTCTCCATTTAAAATGAACAAATTGGAGTCTATTAGATAGATATGACACAAACCGCTGCAGCAAAGTACCTGTAATACCTACAGCATGTTCTAATCGCTCTAATATGATATTATGGTCAACAGTATCGAATGCTGCACTGAGGTCTAGCAGGACAAGCACAGAGATGAGTCCACTGTCAGAGGTCATAAGAAGATAATTTGTAACCTTCACTAAAGCTGTTTCTGTGATAAGCTCTGAAATCTGATTGAAACTCTTCAAATAAGCCATTCCTCTGCAGATCATCTGTTAGCTGTTTGACAACTACTCTTTCAAGTATTTTTGAAATGAAAGGAAGGTTGGAGATTGGCCTATAATTAGCTAAGACTGCTGGGTCAAGAGATGGTTTAAGTAATGGTTTAACTACTGCCAGCTTGAAGGCCTGTGACACATAGACGATTAATAGAGATTGAAGCATTAATTAATGGTTGGACTTATTTGAGCAGTCTTGTAGGAATGGGGTCTAAAAGACATGTTGATGGTTTGGAGGAAGTAATTACTTCCTCCAAAGTCAGAAAGCTCAACTGGAGAAAAAGAGTAAATAAATATCAATGGTAGTGAAAGTAGCTGTAAGATAATGTTACATCTGTGAAATGATTATGAGTATTTTTTTTTTTCTTTAATCGTTGGTAGTTTATTTGTGAAGAAGTTAATGAAGTCATTACTAGTTAATGTTAAAGGGATGGTTGGCTCAACAGCGCTCTGACTTTTTGTCAGCCTGGCTCTAGTGCTGAAGAGAAAC